ACCCCTAAACCCCTAAACCCAGGAGTGCCAGGGCGCCGTGCAGGAAGAGCGCCTTCAGAGGAATGCTCCCATGACGGCAGCGGTCGGTGCGGACGAGCTTCTCCTCGCATGCTTGTTGTAGAGCTGTTATAGGTATAGGGTTTAGGGTTTAGGGTTTAGGGAGTTTTGCAAGGGCATCCAATAAATAACCCTAAACCCGAAGCCCTTGAAGGTGTTATTGAAGAGCTGTCGCTAAGTCAAGTCTGACCATGGGTTGCTGTAGGTTACAGGTATTCTTGAATGACAAAAAATCCGGAAAGTAAGAGTCAAGAGAAAGACTGGTCTCTAAGGACATCTCAGCAGCATGCAGTACTTCGGGTTTAGGGTTTAGGGTTTAAGGTTTTAAAAGTTCAAGGAGAGCTTTTGGAGTTTACAGGTTTTATGGCGTACACCCCTTTCATCTACGGGCAAATGCCCTAAACCCTAAACCCTAAACCCTTAGAGATAAATCGGCCCCATTGCCTGCAAGACTGCCTGTAGTCAGGTTTCTACTGCCGCAAGGTTTAGCGTCTGGAGTCTAAACTGGTTCCCTGATGGGGCTATGTCAGACATGATCATTTCTATTCCTTATTGAGTTTTATTATAACAAAATGTAAAATTGCAGCCAACAAGGACCCAGTAAAGTTTACCGGTGCAACACCCTTCAAGCATCTGCCATGGCGAACAACCCCTGCGAAGAAGCAGTCCTCACCCAATGGCAGCAACAACGGCCTGACGGCTGGACTTCAGGCTTTTACTCACTGGGGCTTGGGCTGGATCGGGAATTTCAAAACAAACCCTTGAACACGACCCCTAAACCCCAAGCTCTACAACCCTTAGAGGAATCCTGGAAACATAGAGTCCTGAACCCTGCGCCCTAACAAACCGTAATCCCAAAGTGCCAACCCCAAACTCGAAGATCCAAGACAGAGTACAATACGGGCCTGCCTCAATAATTATCACTACTATTATTTTGGGGGCTCCTTATTCTAATTCTGTTACAATATACCCCAGACCCTATTCAAATTATATTAAGGCCCCTATATTATCCTGATGAGGCTCTGGCTTATAAATATAACATAATGGGCCTCAACAGCCTATTGAAACTATAAGGGCCCCTATATTGCCTCAACAAGGCAACTCTTGCTGAGGCTCTACTTTTCGTGGAAGACATAAAGTCGGGGCCTTAATAATTAGAATAGGGTTTGGGGGTATATTATATTATTCATATAAGAAGGGCCTTAACAAAAAGAGAATGGGGTTTGGGGGTATATTGTACTATTGCACTACTCATATAATAAGGAACCACCAGAAAGTATAGGTAATTATTTAGACCCCCTTTTGGACATTGGCAACATACCGCGCTCACACACACACACACACCTAAACAACAGCAGCCAGAAGCAACCTCGTGTTGCGAAGCTTCACTCGAAAGGAAAAACCCTAACCCTAAACCCTGAACCCTAAACCCTTACAGTAGGGTCCAAAGATCACGGGCAGCAGCCGAACTGTTCCCAACCCCCTCACGATCAAGTGCCGAAGCCTCAAAGCCTAGACCAGAAATCTGTGGGTTTGGAAACTAGTTTAGGGTTTAGGAGTGTAGAATTTAGAGTTCAGGGTTTAGGGTTCAGGGTTCAGGGTTTAGGGTTTAGGGTTCAGGGTTTAGGGCTTCAGGGTTAAGGAACCCCAGTAGTGATCCTAAAATCACCAAGCGCGAACACCGAAACCCTCACCACCGGCCCTAGGAAAAGCTTCAACCCGAATCTTTCAGGGTCAAGGGTTTAGGGTTTAGGGTTTAAGGGTTTAGGGGTTTAGGGATTTAGGGTTTAGGGTTTAGGGTTTAGGATGTCCGATAAGGCCACCTAAGCCCCTGTAAGAACTCCATATGGAACCGTTTCAGACGTGTTGTAAGGTAGGGGTCTGAACCCTGACGCCTAACCCCTAAATTCCTCTAAATCAAACCTTTCTAGAACAATGATAGGAACTAGGAGCCCTTCACGGAACCTCTAAAATAAGGGAAGCCACAGAAGAGCCCTAACCTTAACCTACCAAAACCCACTTTTCTGTAGGTTCTTATGATGAAACCCTAATTTGGGATTTATAGGGACCCTACAAAAAAGTAGGTTCTGGTGGGTTAAGGAAACCATTCTCGGTTACGGCTCTCGCTGTACGTCGGATCTAGGCTGGAAGGCCTCAGGTTCGCGTAGGACTCGTCTCCAGAGCAGGGAGTGGAGTTGAAGTAAATCTTAACGAAGTGCCCTTCCTGTCTGCAAAAGCCAGGGCTTAGGGTTTTAGGGTTTTCAGGCGCGAGATTAGGGTTTAGGGTTTAGGGTTTACGGGTTCAGGGTTTAGGGTTTACGGGTTCAGGGTTTAGGGGTTTAGGGTTTAGGGTTTTCAGGTGCAAGATTCGGGTTTAGGGTGTGGGATGCAGGGCAACTGGCCTTCGGTCGGGATTCTGAGCAACTGGCTCTAGGCAATGCAGCTTTGAAAGAAGGGCCTGTTGGGCTTTGACTTCAAGTTTTCCGGATTAAAAGTCACAGGACTTGATCGGGTGGATCTGCGGAAGGTGCCTGGAATGGCTTGATGGCATGCAGCACTAGAATCACATGATACCTGCTAGGCAGACGCACTAGCTGGTGTTCTCAAACCCCGAAACCAGCCAAATAGCTAGATCTCTATTTTTGATAGGTTTCTGCGGCACAGGTCCTCCTGCCCACTGAAGGTACGAACAGAGTTTTTTGGAAGTAGCCTGAATGATCAGACTAGCCCCTGTGGAGCTGTAGACTATGAGCATATTCACAAGTATTGCTGCCCAGCCTCTCTAGCCATACAACCCTTCTACAACCCTGCATAATCCTCCTGGCAGCCCTCTAGAACCCATCTGCCCCCTTACACCCCAAACCCCACAGCCCTCTTTCTTAGGGGCTGAACACCCTGGCCCCAAAAAGGTTAAGCTTTCAAACTATAGTCGGCTTACACAAGCCCCAAAAGGTTAAAGCTTACCTACTCTAAACCCTAAACCCTAAACCCCAAATCCTAAACCCTAAACCCTAAACCCCCAACCCTAAACCTTAAACCCTACACCCCCAAACCCTAAACCCTAAACCCTAAACCCCTAAACCCCAACCCCTAAACCCCAAACCCTAAACCCCAAACCCTAAACCCCAAACCCTACACCCCAAGGGGGCCCTCTTTTCCGGCCTTCTTGGCGTGGAGCTCGAGGAGCAGAAAGGCGCCAAAGCCGATGGTTGGAAGCCTGGGTTCTTGTTTAGGGATTTAGGGATTTAGGGTTTAGGGTTTCGGGTTTAGGGATTTATGGTTTAAGATTTAGGGTTTAGGGTTTCGGGCTTAGGGTTTAGGATTTCGGGTTTTTGGTTTAGGGATCTAGAGTTTAGGGATTTAGGGTTTAGGGTTTTAAACTAAGTTACTATAGTAAGGTCTAAACTGGATTCTTGTTTAGGGTTTAGGGATCTAAGGTTTAGGGTTTAGGGTTTTAAATTGACTTACTATGGTAAGGTCTAAACTGGATTCTTGTTACGGGATTTAGGGTTTAGGGTAAAGGGAATTTCATTTAAGTTACTATAGTAATGAAACCATATTATTTAGTATAGTTTCGTATTCTGAAAACCTAAACTGAGTTACTACAACAAGGAAACCACACTATTTACTATAGATCCCTATTCTGGTAACTTAAACTAACTTCCTTAACGCGTAAGGAAATCACATCACTTGACACAGATCCTGATTATGAAAGCTTAGATTAACCTCCTTAACCCTAAACCCTAAACCCTAAACCATATTGTTTGCTATAGATTCCTATTCCGATAACTTGGGTTAACTTCCTCAACAAGAACCCAGGAGCTCCAGGCCCATGTGAGCGGCCAGGGCCGCCAGGGTCGTGTCGTGGCAGGACATCCTCAGGTCTTTGGGTTTGTGTAGATTGTTTCGGGTTTGAGGGTTTAGGGTTTAGGGATTAGGGTTTAGTGTTGCGGGTCTAGGGTTAAGGGATTAGGGTCCTCAACTCTTGTTTTGAAGTAGGGCTTAAGGCGTTGAGGGTTTAGGCGTTAGGGTTTAAGTAGGCTTGGTGTCGTTTCAAGATATCCTCAAAGCTCTAAACCTCCTTTCAGGGCTCCTTGAAGGGCTTCTGCAAGGGATGCTTAAAGGACATCCTCGAGTCTTGCTGTCAAGTAGGGTTTAAGGTTTTAGGTTCCTCAAGATTTAAGTAGGGTTGGTGTCGCGGCAGGACATCCTCTAAGCTTTAAACCTCCTTTAAGGGTTTCTGCATGGGAGCCTTCAAGGACCGGGCTTAAGAGTTTCGGGGTTTGGCA